AAAAGTCTGCAGGTGACCAATCATCTTTCATGGCTGGACTGAGGCCGTCAGAGTGGAGAACAAACAGGTTTCATGCCTGTCCTCCAGGGACAGGGACCCTCAACTGCAATTCACTGTCACAAGGACGTGAAGTTGTGAATTTCAGTGTCATGAAAAATCAGAATATTTGTGATGCAACCGTCAGCTCAGATATAGTGCTGAAATGAGAGATCTTCAGGGAACTATTAAGGATGAAGATGTAATAAGTGGCTCCAGGGGTTTTTCTTTCTGATAACAGGGAAACATGGCCACAATAAGCGGCATTTCTATCATCTCCTGTGGGAAGGAACTCAAAGTAAGCCACTGATGCCAACAATGCATGGTGGTGATGGGGTGTGGGCTGGGCATTGAAAGAGAACAAACACTCATTGTTTCTGCGTCATGAGAAGCATGTGGGAGCTGCTTTCCACGCACTGAGGATGGCGATGGTGGGAGACTGCCAGCGGACACCATTGTGTCCTTACTACTGCACAAGCTTTGCTTCACTTCACCCTTACCTAGGCCCCCTGGTTTAGTTCCTGCCACCTTCCATACAAGGAAACAAGGGCTGAGTGGTTCTCTCTTTGCTCGAGGACACACAGGTACTCTGGGTCGGAGATGGGAGAGGAAAGCAGCTATGCATTCTGGACTCTCTACAGCAGCACACTGCACCCACAGGAGGTAGGTCTGCAGGATGATGAACTACCCCAACATGGGAGGTTTTCCACGGTGATGGATCTGGGAGTGGATGATTGTTCCACCTACTCCAGAAAATATTACAATTTTAAGTTAAAAATTTCCCTTGCAGTAGCCTACCTTTGGGCATAAGCCAAGACATTACTACAGATCCTGAAAATTAGTTAAAAATTTGAGCTCTTTCGGAAGTGGATATAGCAGTACCTCAATACTCTGAGGCACTCTGAGATCAGATGTTCTTGTGGGCAGGTCCTAGGGCACAATCCCTTGGTCTCTACTCCCCCCCCCCCCCCCCCGGTGCCCATGCATCCTCCCTAGCAGAGTGCCTACTAACTTCATATGGGGAAAATGAAGAAGTTCCTGTACCCAAACTGGGCCTTCACAGTTATTTTCCTTTTTTCTTTTCTTGACAGGTAGAGTTACAGACAGTGAGAGAGAGAGAGACAGAGAGAAAGGTCTTCCTTCCATTGGTTCACTCCCCAAATGGCCACTATGGCCGCCACTGCACCAATCCGAGGCCAGGAGCCAGGTGCTTCCTCCTGGTCTCCCACTTGGGTGCAGGGGCCCAAGCATTTGGGCCAGCCTCTACTGCCCTCCCGGGTCACAGCAGAGAGCTGGACTGGAAGAGGAACAACCGGAACTAGAACCGGCATCCATATGGGATGCTGGTGCCACAGGTGGAGGATTAACCAAGTGAGCCACGGTGCCAGCCCCCTTCACAGTTATTTTCAACAAAAATGAGGAGATTGCCAAGCAAGAAATTCTGTGAATTGTTTCCAAGCAGGGAGAAATACCTGGGAGATTGTTGTCATGTTGATGTGGAATGTTCAGTTCAGTTTAACCTTAAGCATTTAAGGCTGATAAGCCTCTGCTCCCAGTTTGCCAGTTCACCAGTGCAATACTGGCCAATAGCGGGTCAAGGATAAAGTTCTCTCTGAATCCTTTAAGGAGATGATGACTGCTCTGGATGACAGATACTTACATTCCCAGCACCTGCACAATTCTTGGTACATACAAAGTTACTTCAAAAAGCTCACGAAAAAAATGGAATTAAGAGATAAATTTTTTTGGTGCAAAAAATTTGAAATCCATCTAGGGTATTTTTGTAATATGCACTTTCCATGAACTTTTGGAAGACTCCTTGTAGCAAGACAAGAAAAATCTGATGACTGATCAAGTTTTTGGAGCATTACAGAGCCCCATGATGGGCTTCAATGGGCATACACGTGAGCTGGCCTGAGAGTTGTGCTTAAATGCACCTTCTGCTTAGGTGGGTTTGGAGTTGGGCCTGGGATTCTGCCTCATAACCAGCTCCTGGAGGTGTCAGTGTTGCTCACTCAGAACCACACAATGAGCAGCAAGGCTGTGGTTCTTTCCTGCTGCTGGCTGTGTACCACACACAGTCAGGAGAATGATGCTTTTCTTTCATAAAATCATCCCTAAATTTTGTTAGTAGATATGGTATCCTCATTTTCAGTCTGGGAAGGGAAATTGAGAAATGGTCAAAGGATTGCCTACAGTCTCAGAGATATTAAATGACAAACTACAGATCACTTGGAAAATCTTTTAAAAAATCCTGTGAATATTAGACATACTATATTTTTAATAACTTTGTCTAAATTCAAGGTTGATGATGATCACAGATCACTTGGTGGTGCATTGGTTTACACCAGGAATTCATTAATGAGTTTTCAACTCTGCATTTTAATGAAAGGTTATTTATCAAAATGTCTCTCCCCATGAGAGGAATGTGTGTCACTTAGGCAGGAAATCTAGTTAAGGGAGATGAAACTTGTAGAAAAGATGTTCAGAACTGAAGGACTAGCAACCACAAGGCTGAGCGTGTCAGCTAATGTAATACTCGATAATTCATGACGGCCATCTGCTCCCTCCCAGATGCTTAGGCTGGGGGGCTTGTGGCTGGGAGCGGAAGGATAGAGATGATACCCTCTGAGCGAGGAGCTTCTGTCCTTTGCATACACGGTAAGCTTTTTCATTAGCATCATCTCAGCAGGCAGTCGATCAACAGGGGCCTTTCCTCTCGTATGAAAATGGCTTAGCAATGAAAATGGATCCGAGAAGATTATGGTTAATAAATAATAATTTTTCAGCATCAAGATGTAAAGGCTAAATCAGTAGCTCCAGTGATCATGTCTGTGTTTATATGGTCACTCATCAGATACTCCAGCATTTGTGTCGAATGCTAGAAAAGAAACTCAGTAATATTCTGTCCAGGAATCTGGGATATGAGTTGATGACTTAAATTCCTCAGTCTCTGCCTTAGAGGCACTGCCTTATCACTCTTTTCTGGCACACCTGTCTCAGACCATAGGTAAGCTGGGCACTGCTAACCTGGCAAGAACAGAGTAGGCAATTCTAATAGCCTGTAGATTCTCAGTCCAAAGTTCTTTCCAGCTGGTCACTGGCTCTGTTGCTTCATGAATTCTAAACTGATGGTGAAATAAGGAGTTAATGTCAATTCCCACCTTCTCAGAAAGAGCCTCCCACTTTCCTTTTTTATGCACAGTGAGAGCTACCAGTGTGTCAGAATAGGTAGGAGTTGCCCTCCACCATCTGCTGGCTCATCAACACAGTGCTCAGGCAGGCTCTCATTTGCAGCTGCCCCATTTGTCTTCTGTGCAAGCCTAAAACAAGCAACTTACCTTCTTGGAAGGCAAAATCCAGGTAGAAAAGATTGAAGTTCGTAAATTTCTTGCTGGCTGCAATTTTCCTCAGCGTCTCGGAGAGCTGCTGTGCTCTCTGAATACAAGAGAAATGGAGAATCCCATGAAACCTTGACTTTGACTGTAAGTGGACAATTCAGGCAGAGCAAAGAAACTCATCTGCCCAGTCTTTCCCTTCTTCCTTCCTCCAAACCATCAGGGGAGAGCAGCTCTGCACATTCAATTATATTCAAGTACAAACGGCCAGTGAACATATGAAGGGTGTTAAAGTTCACTAAGAATCAAATCAGTGTGAATTAAAGTACTAAGGTACTGTTTCCTCCGTGGGACTGGCAAGAATGGGATGAACAACCATGTAGATTCAAATGCGTCATGGGCAGGGGAATGAGAAGGTTGCTTACTCAAACTGTTCCTTCCAGGAGTCTGGCAATATGGATCAAGTCCTTAAACATGGGCCTCCCCTCTGACTCAATAGTTTTTCTTGGACTTTGTTTTAAGGAAATAGAAGCATACACAAAGAAATAATCCTTATACATACGTTTGTTCATCACAAATGCTACTTACTACAATGAAAAATTGAAAACAACCTGCATGTCCGACACCACAGGAAGGAATAAACAAGGTTATATTTTTATGTTATATATTTTAAATTGTACAACATTATGACATGGAGAAACACTTTATGAACATCAAAAGGCACAAAAGCCTTTTGTTACTGCGTAGGCAAAGTCCCCAAATAGCTACCTATGGAAGTAATAATGGAAAGACATCATGCATAGTAACTTCGGATGGTGGGATTTTAGGTGATTTTTGCTATTGTTTTTGTGCTCTTGTGTGTTTTTATTTATTTATTTATTTGAGAGGCAGAGTTACAGACAGGGAGAGGAAGAGACAGAGAGAAAGGTTGCAACAGAAAGGTTGCAATGGCTGCAAAGGGTGGAGCTGGGCCGTTCTGAAGCCAGGAGCCAGGTACTTCTCCTGGTCTCCCATGCGGGTGCAGGGCCCAAGCACTTGGGCCATCCCCCACTGCTTTCCCAGGCCACAGGCAGGGAGCTGGATTGGAAGAGGGGAAGAGGAGCAGCTGGGACTCTAAGTGGCGCCACAGGCAGGGGCATGGCCTACTTTGCACAGCGCCAGCCCCTTCACGCTTTTTTTTTTCAATTGAGATACATTTCTTTTGTTGAAAAAAAAAAATCAATCTTTTAGAAAGAGATGACTCATCTCCCACGAAAAAAGTGCCAACAGCTGTGTTTGAGCCATTGCTGCTCTCAGAGAAGCGAGGAAAGTCCTAATCTACCGCCGCAGAACTCCAGTCAAACTCGTCAGACACAGAGCTAAGCTCTCAGCTCTCGCCAGCTGGGCAACTCTGCTGAGAGCAGCTGGGACGGGTGTGTGAGTGTGTGTGTGTGTGTGTGTGTGTGTGTGTGTGTAACTGCTGAGGAGCAGCTGGGACGGGTGTGTGAGTGTGTGTGTGTGTGTGTGTAACTCTGCTGAGGAGCAGCTGGGACGGGTGTGTGTGAGTGTGTGTGTGTGTAACTCTGCTGAGGAGCAGCTGGGATGTGTGTGTGTGTGTGTGTGTGTGTGTGTGTGTAACTGCTGAGGAGCAGCTGTGGTGGGTGTGTGTGTGTGTGTGGCGGAGAGACACCCACCCACACACGCATGCAGAGGCAAGAGGCCTCCACAGCAGCAGAGGGAGACAGAGCACGCCCGAGTCCCTCAGCTCCTCCAGCCCCCCCCCCCCCGAGATTTTGGTCACCGGAGGGCCACTTCCTGCCACAACCTCCTCCCCCGTGAGCAAGCCCAGGGCATCCGAAGGCCTGTGCAGTCCTACCTCCGAGGTGAGGGCCCGGAGCGTCTCGTTGGCGGACATCCAGCCGGGGCAGGGGCTGACCTGCGGGCAGGAGGACAGCAGTGCTTAAAGGGGCCCAGCGAGCCGGCGGGAATGCACAGAGCGTGGCCGGGCCGGGCAGTGAGCTCACCTGGAGGCAGCCCAGGAAGGAGTAGAGCTGCGTGTAGGTCACGTCCTTGTTTAGCTGGCCTGGCAAACAGAGAGCTCTGGTTTGTCGTGTGCACGCAGAGGCAGCACTGGGACGCTCGTGTGGGCGACCCTGCCTCAGGTTGCAGCTCCGCACCGCCAGGGCACTTGGCCTGGCTTTCCTTCCGCGTTGCTCTTGGGGAAGGCCTGGGCTTTCCTTCTTCCTGAGCCTGTAGAATTTTCGAGCCAGGGTTGGGGAAGGACCCTAAGGACTTTATTTCCATGTGGAGGACTGGGCTCAGCCAGACTCCCTGGAAAAAAGGAATTGGGTATCCTGTGCCTTGAAGCACTCCGTGGAGCAGTGGGGCACTGGGAGCATTGGTTGACGGAATCCTTTGCAAGTTTAGGAAGCACTCAGGTCTAACCTGATGATCCCATGCTGAGAGCAGGTGGGACTCGTGGGGTGTCTGAAGCCCTGGCCATACAGTGCCCTGCGGTTTGGTGAACCGAAGGCCTCCCAAGTGCCTGGGTGGCCCATGGGATGGGGGAGGCCAATGGGATGGGGGAGGCCATTGCACTAGGTATCCCTTCCTGGCACTGGGTGAAGGGTTGCACAGAGGTTGTTTTATTTGAGCTCTAGTTAGTAGATATGCCTGATACTTATTTTGGCACAGTGCCGAGTGGGGTTTGTCCAGAGCCTTTCTGAATATCAGCAATAGAAAGAGGTTCCTCTTTCTCTCTTTCACCACTCCTCTCCCTCCTTCCATCATATCCACCCCAAGATGTCATTCAACCTCATGCTGTGGCTGCCACACAGAATCCAGCCCCCCCCGCCCCCCCCAACTGCCCCCAGATCTCAGGGTTGAATGGCTGACGCTGTGTCCATTAACACTCCTTACACTGGAGAAAAAAAAATCAAGGCAGATAATAGGGCCTATCTCAGAGCACACAGAAAGACTGAAGGTGATGGAACACAGTCTTGTTTTTCACTTATACCTGTGATCAGTTAGACTGAAAGATAGATTCAATTTTCTTGTCATGGAGGAAAAATATATTATCTATCTCAGTGTGGGTGAGTGTGGCCCTGGACTGGAAAGCCACGGGCTTATTACCGCTATTAAAGTCACAGTGACCGGTCAAGGCTCTCCTCCGTGCAGGCATCTGCGTCCTTGAATTTCATTTTATGGGCCCAATATGTAGCTTTGAGCTCTCATTTTCCCCAGGGATCTGCTTCCAGCCCCTGCACCCCCCCCCCCCGACTCCTTTCCCTCCATCTGTATTCTATTTCTTTTGCTTTTACAATGTGTCCCCTTCCTCTAAGTGTCCAAGCCCACCTCAGCCAAGGCCAGCTGCAGGGACGGACACCTTCAGCCTTTACTCCCTGTGCTGGGCTGACATGCGCCTGAATGACTTGACTCATCGTCCCTCAGAGCTTGGTGAGGGCAGACTAAGTCTGGCTGGCTTCTGTTACCATCTTGTTTTGTTGTTGAAAGTTAGGTACCTGCTTGGGACCCTGACACCCTCTTGTCCATGATGTGTCCCGTCACCCTGAAGGGTCACCTCTCTCTATCCCGCTCAGTGGCTGCGGTCTTTTCAACTGAAAGGAGGTTGCACCTCATGCCTGAGTGTAACTACACTTGCACACCCTCTTCTTTGTTCTTCTTCTTTTTTTTTTTGACAGGCAGAGTGGACAGTGAGAGAGAGAGAGACAGAGAGAAAGGTTTTCCTTTGCCTTTGGTTCACCCTCCAATGGCTGCCGTGGCCAGCGCACTGCGCTGATCTGAAGCCAGGAGCCAGGTGCTTCTCCTGGTCTACCATGGGGTGCAGGGCCCAAGGACTTGGGCCATCCTCCACTGCACTCCCGGGCCACAGCAGAGAGCTGACCTGGAAGAGGGGCAACTGGGACAGAATCCGGCGCCCTGACCGGGACTAGAACCCGGTGTGCCGGCGCCGCAGGTGGAGGATTAGCCTATTGAGCCGCGGCTCCAGCTTTCTTTGTTCTTTTAAGCCTGGATTGCTTTACTAGCCAGAGGGACTGGAATTGGCCATTCCCCTTGGATGCTGGGAGCATAACTCTGTCTCCTTCTTGGAGGTTAAGCCTGGTTGCAGCCTTGTTCCATCCTGTCTTATTCCTCTCTTCCTGCTGTCCTACTGCTGAGGTCCTACCATGTCTTTGGATGAGACCAGGAGGTGTATCCTCCTTCTGAACCTTCTCTGAATCCACTCCCTTTCCCTCTATCCCCCTGTGTTTTGGCACTGGTTCTGATTGGGCTCTGTTGATAAAGGGGCAGTCGTTATGTGGGTAGCCACTGAGGGTGCAGCAGTGTCTTTAGAAGACACCTGGGAAAGGCTGAGGAACTGGTTTCCCTCCTCGCTGATCTGTTTGCTAGAAGGTGGGGTGACGCGGGGGCTGCTCATGTGGAAGACAGGTTGGAAGTGCTTGTGATGGGCCTGTGCTTTAAGAAGGGGAAGAAGGAAATGCTTCTATTGCTTTCTCCCCTTATTGGCGCTGGGAGACGGTCATTCACTGCTTTTTTTAGGCTTTACCTTCTATTCCTGTTGCTTTAAAGTGCATTTTGCACATTGAACAAATGTCTTGGAAAGACTGATCCTCCTGTGTGTTGTATGTGAGAAGGGGTTTTGTCTGTGATTCTGTGATTCCCTTGTCAGAAAGTCAATCTGGTTAAAAAAGCTGGTCATGAATGCCCTTGGGCAGGGGCGGGGACTGGGGCAGGGGCCTGGCCTGGGGCACTATCCCATTATCCCATAGCATTTCCAGGGGCTGAGAAGTTATCTGTGTGTGTGAGTGTGTGTGTGTGTCTGTGTGTGTCTGTGTGAGCCTGGGGACTGACCTACTGGATGCCAGATGCTTCCTCTGAAAATTAAAGGGTGTGTTTCACTCCAACTGCCTAGAGATGCAATCTGTGTCCCAGTCTAAGTCCTGTAGAGAGGGGCCTTTGATATTTACTTAATGCTGGCAACATGATTGGAATCTCAGGAACCATAAGAACTTTGTACCAACAAAGGAGGTCAGTCATACCTCCATGAAATACCATCTGAATGTATTAAAGCCACATTAATTCAGACCAGGGGAAGGGCAGCAATACCCTAGAAACTACAAGTTGTTTTAAAGACATTTGGTTTCAAGTTTAAGAGTAACTGAGGGGGCTGGTGCTGTGGTGTAGTAGGCTAAGCCTCTGCCTGTGGCACCTGGATCCCATATGTGCACTGGTTCATGTCCTGGCTGCTCTTCTTCCAGTCCGGCTGTCTGCCTTTGGTCTGGAAAAGCAGTGGAAGATGGCCCAAGTGCTTGGGCCCCTGCACCCATGTGGGAGACCCGGAAGAAGCTCCTGGCTCTTGGCTTCGGATCTGCCCTTGTGGCCATTTGGGGAATGAACCAGTGGATGGAAGACCTTTCTTTCTATCTCTCCCTCTCTCTGTAGCTCTGCCTCTCAAATAAATAAATAAGTAAATAAATAAAATCTTTAAAAAATTGAAAAAAAGAATGAGGCAAAATGAAGCTGTTGTTTTGTGGCAGAGGCCCTACAAGGAAGACCTAACTATAGATTTCTTTGTAACCAGCAATCCTGGATTGTTTAAACCTGGTCTAACCTTTGGACAACTCCCAGGATGTCTATGCCTTGTACCATTTCCCTGGCATTTGGTCCTTCTGGTCAGGATCTATGTTCTGGCTTCCCCAATAGACTTGTATTTTCTCTGTCACTTAAGGACAAGGGCTCCATTGTATGTCATCTTAACACAAAAGCACACGATATGTATTTCAGACACACTTCTGGAGTGATTGCTGTCCTGCAGAGTATGGCCAAGAGGACTCAACACTGATCAAATCTGACCTTTCTCTGAAGGCCTATGTAAGCAGAATCCTAATGTGTGAGATGTGCTCTGTGGTGATTCCTCATAAAGACAATAAACTTTCAGCAGGAAGTTGAATTCACGACAGACACTGAAGCATGGCCCAGGCCTGGTTCCAACTCAGAAGCATGGCTGAAAGGGAGAACTGTGACCCCTCCTGCACCACGCAAGTGGAATGAGAGCCTGCTCTTCTGGGCCTCCCTTCCCTACTGACCTGGGTGCTGTGGCATTTCACCTTTTCTTTGCTGACTGGTCGGGCTGTGTTCCTGCCTGTCCTACTAAGAAGAGGAAGCAGCAGAGAAGGTTTCACTGCCCAGGGCTTCCCCCCCCCGGCCCCCGCTGCCTGAACTCTTTCCTAATCCTTAGCAGGGGGAGGCAGCCAGGTCTAGGGATGCTCATCACCAGGTCTCTAGGTTCAGCTATGAAATGGGTAGAACATCCTTTCTCCCCCCCCATCCCTTCTTCCTCTGTTCCCCCTCTTCCTCCTCCTTCTCCTTATCTCACACAGTCCCTAACAGAGTGTCCTGGGAATCCAACTCCAACATTAGGCTGTTGTATAAGATGAGTTGTACTGTAACTGAGGGTGAGCAACCAAACCTGGAGGCTCCAGCATCAAATTTGCTTTGTGGCTGGTGCGTATCCAGTGGGAATGAAGATCCAAAGATTGGGTTTGGAGGGGAGCAGTGGAGAAGAGGCAGCATGAAGGCCTTAGCCCCATCTGCTAGCCTCTCATCATCTGTGAATTATGAACCCTGCAGAAGGAGGATTGTTGGAGCTGGGTAAGTCTCGCCTACTTCCCAGTCTTTCTAGGAAGGACCCTGAGGCTTCACTGTAACGTGGATAATTTATTTACCATGGCAACCAGGCAGCAGGGATAATTTGGGATGTGAATACCTAAAAATATTAAACAAATTTTAGATGATTTCGGTCGTCTCCCTAATGGGATTTTTTTTTTCCAAATTAGGGTCATTTATATGGAACAAACTTGTT